TTTTTTTTTTAAAAAAAATTCTTATTAAATTTCTAAACTCTACAAAAACTCTTCACTCTTTTTTTTTAAAAAAAAATTCTTATTCAAAAACTCTTCACTCTTTTTTTTAAAAAAAAAATCCTTAATATTAAATTTCTAAACTCTACAAAAACTCATTCACTCTTTTTTTTTAAAAAAAATTCTTATTAAATTTCTAAGCTCTACAAAAACTCTTCACTCTTTTTTTTTTAAAAAAAATTCTTATTAAATTCCTAAACTCTACAAAAACTCTTCAAATTTCTAAACTCTCTTTCTCTTAAAAAAAAAAAAATACCAAATAGATTGAAAAATGGAATTTTTGAAAGAAAAGTATAATAAATTGAATGAAGAAAATCTACAATTAATTGAAAAATTGGAAGAAATTACAAATAACCAAGAAAAAGAAAGGAAAGAGAATGAAGAATTGAAAAGGCAACTTCATGAAAAATTGGAAGAAATTACAAAAAACCAAGAAAAAGAAAGGAAAGAGAATGAAGAATTGAAAAGGGAACTTCATGAATTGCGAAGTAAAAATCAGTCACCAGTAAATAATGAATGGGGAAATGGAAATTGGGATAATTGGGAAAAAACAGAACCAGTAGAAAAATGTAAAAAATGTAATAGTAATTTGAAAAATTTTGAAGTAGAGATATGTGGGGCATGTAAATTAGAAAATAAAAAGTGTAAAGAATGTGAAAAAATGGAATGTAATTGTAAATTTGTAAAAGGGGCAATTAATTATTATACTATTAGGTTTAAAAATGAAGAAATTCTTAATTTAGAAGAATTAAAAGAAAGTATTAAGAGGGGAGATAATGAAATCATAATTGATTATAATGATAAAAAAGATAAAAATATTTTGAAAAAATCAAGAAAAATTAATATTAAAATTCTAAAAAGAAGAGTTGAAATTCATGAAAAATTACGCGAAGAATTTGGAGAATCAATTTTAGAAGAAGCATTAGAATATCGAAATACTGAATATGGGGGAATGGTTAAGCCAGCAGAAAATAGCACAGTAACTCAACAGTTTTCGAAAGCATTAATGGCATTTTATACGAGACATGGAGATAAAATAAAAATTTGTGGGGAATGTTGTTTACCAGTACAAGTAGAAGATATGGATGGAATTTTTTGTAAAGAATGTAAGAATATACCAAAAGAAGTAGAAGCAATAATTACAAAAGAAGTAATTGAAGTAATTGAAACAAGAGCAAAATGTCAGCGACATGGGGAATATGATGGAGAATATTGTAAAGAATGTGATAATGGAGAATTAACAGTATTTTGTAAAGAATGTGAAAATTATGGATTTAAAGGCGAATTATATAATAAAAATTTTTGGAAAAATCATTATTATAACTTAAATAATAGTAATTATGATAGTATGGATAGTACAGGAGGAATGTATTGTTTAAAAAAGAAAGAATATGTAAAATTAGAAAAAATTTCGAAAGAAACGGGGGATATGATTGAAAAAGCAGTACAGAAATTTTCAGAAGTACCAGCGAACGTAGCAATTAAAAAATGGGAAGAATATCAGAATTATGTAGAAAAAGGATTTCCAGAAGGAGCGACAGACATGAATACAATAGGGGGATTTATTTATGGAAATGGAAAACAACGAGAAGATATTGAGACTAAATGTATATGTTGGAGAGGACATGGATATTGTAAAAAGCATGAACATGAAATAGAAATTGATAGAAATTCTAAAAGATGTATATCATGCGAAAAGGGGTTAAGTTTACAGAATCAACCAAATCAAAGAAAGGAATTTGATTATTCGCAATGGGATCAAACGAATGATATTGATCAAAATATAAATTGGGGACCATCAGAAAGATCAACTTGGGGAGATGAAGTTAATGATACTTATGCAAGTAGAGTTCAAAATAGAAATAATAATCGAAAGAGATTTCCGTATAATTCAAAAAGTAACGAGAATTTAAGGGGAAATAATTATCAAGAACAAAACAGAAGAATTTTACAAAGACCAACATCAATGGGGAATTTACGACAGGGATTTGTAATGGACCAAAAAGAAGTTGATCGAAGAATTAGAATTATTCTTGATATGAGTAATACTAAAAAAGGAGTCATTAACAGAAAAGTTGAAGAACAAAATTTACCGTGTAAAAAATGTAATGCAGTAATAGGCGAATTTCACGTTTATATGGGAGTAACAAAATGTAGAAAATGTTTAGAAGATTTGGTAAAGAATCCAAGAACATGGGAATGTATAGTTGAAGAATTAAATGATATGAAAAATTCGGCAAGAGAATTGGGAATTAATCTTAAAGGAGTAACAAATTATCAAAAATTGAGAAGGGATGCAGAAGGAAATAATTATGTTAGAAGAAAATGGTAGGAGATTTTATTAGTTTTTAAATAGTGTGGGTTTTTTACTATTTTTATCAAAAAAATATTTTATTTATTATATTAATAATAGATGTATGGCTTTACTAAGATTTCTTAAGAATTTGATTTTTCATTTATATTATATTATATATTACTTATATGTATATTATATCATATATCTTTTATATCACATTATTTCAATAAATTATAAATATGATATTATTTAATTATCTAATTACAAGTTATTAATTATTATTACATATTACTCATTACGTTTAGTTCTGATCTTTTCATCAGGTGTTGGATGTTTTCTGTGTGTAATAATTGTATGGTTTTATCGTGAAATTTATTATCGTATCAATGAGTCACCCTTTGAGTCATCCTATACATGTATAAAAAAAATTATATTATATATATACATACATACATACATAAATTTTAAAAATACGCAAAAAAAATTTTTTCTTTTTTTTTCACGTGAACTTCAATTGTAATATTAACGTTGTATTAACGTAAAGAATAAGACATTTCGAAAATTTAATTGATAAATTTTATGGGAAATCTATCAAATAGCAATTACTGTATAATTTTTTTTTTTTTATGTATAGAGAAATGTAGAGAAAAAAAAAATAAAAAAATCGATTTTTGTTGCTTCGTGCGAGGTATTTTTTTTTTCGTGTATGAGAGTATCATAGATGGTCGTACAAAAAATACTGATCGGCGTAAATTCATCCGAGTTCTAAGTTAGTACTATTATGGAAATTTACTTAAAAAGGAAGTTTATTTCTCGATAATGTTGTAGTGTTGTGCGACATCTTGGCAGAAACTTAAACCTTTTAATGGGCCCTTTCATTAAAAAAAAAGAAGAAATTTTTTTCTTTCCTTTCTATTTCAGTTATATGTATACATACATCAAAATATGCATATGTTAATTAAATAGCAATGTTAAATGAAATTACGGATAGTATTGATATTTCTGAAGATGATGAAAATTTTTTAATAAACTTTTTAAAAGATTTTCATTATAAAATTATTAAAGAAAATGATTTCAATAATTTTGAAAAAAATTCGAGTGAGTGGATAAAACATATTCTTGAAAATAATAATAAAGAACCCGAAAAAGTTCTTAAAATGATGATAAATCATAAAGTAAGTAAATATTGGTTCACAAGTTTTATGGGATTTTTTTATCAATTTGGTATTGGTTGTGAACTAGATAAAGGAAAGTCAGTTGAATTATATTTGTTAGCTATTGGTAATAATAGTGAAATTAAAAATGATTCTTTAAATGAAGATTTTGATTTTGATCAATTAAATTATGATAAGGATACTTTTAATTATTTAACAAATAAGAATATTATTATTGGAAAATATTTATTATCAATATTTTATTATAAAGATATTATTTTAGATATTAATTATAAGAGGAATAAATTATTAAGCCTTGAAATATTGACCAAAAATAATGATTTAGAAGCACAATATAATTTAGCCGTTTGTTATCAAAGCGGTGATGGTGTTAAATCTAACTATAGGAAAGCTTTTGAATTATTTCTAAGTGCTGCTAAAAGGGGAAATCTAGACGCACAATATAATTTAGCAATTTGTTATATGGATGGAATGGGAACACAGAAAGATAAAAAAAAAGCATTTAAATGGTTTTTGAAGTCCGAAAGTAAACAGCTGATTACACAGAATAAAGGTGAAAGGAAAGAATTTGAAAAGAATTTAAAATTGGCAATAGCGAACGATTCAAAAGCACAAAATTATGTAGGATATTGTTATAACAATGGTAAAGTAACAAATAAGAATGAAACAAAGGCGTTGAAATGGTATTTAAAATCGGCAGAAAATGGAAATGCTATGGCACAGTGTAACTTGGGAATATCTTATCTATTGAATAATAAAATAACAAATAAAAATGACAAAAAAGCATTTGAGTGGTTATTGAAGTCGGCTATTAGTGGATATACTAATGGACAATGTATCTTAGGAATTTGTTATAACCATGGTATAGGGACGGATGTAAATGAAAAAAAAGCATTTGAATGGTATTTAAAATCAGCAGAAAATGGAAATATAATAGCGCAAGTTAATTTAGGACTCTGTTATAGAAATGGTATAGGAACAAATAAAAATGAGAAAAAGGCATTTGATTTGTTCCTGAAATCAGCTATTGCAGGATATGCTGATGGGCAATGTAATTTAGGATTTTGTTACATGAATGGTGTAGGAACGGATAAAAATGAAAAAGAATCATTTAAATGGTATTTAAAATCAGCAGAGAATAGAAATGAAATAGCGCAAAATAATTTAGGGAACTGTTATCAATATGGTATAGGAACAGATAAAAATGATACAAAAGCATTTGAATGGTATATGAAATCAGCTAATGCAGGATGTGCTAATGGGCAATATAATTTAGGAATATGTTATAGAAATGGCGTAGGAACAGAAAAAGATAAAGTAAAAGCATTTGAATGGTCAATGAAATCAGCTGAAAATGAACATGATAAAGCACAAAATTACTTAGGATATTGTTATAAAAACGGTATAGGAGTAAGTAAAAATGAAATGAAAGCATTAGTATGGTTCATGAAGTCAGCTGAGAATGGATATGCAATGGCACAATGTAATTTGGGAATATGTTATAAAAAAGGTATAGGAACGGATAAAGATGAAGTAAAAGCATTTAAATGGTATTTAAAATCAGCGGAAAATGGATATGCATTGGCACAATTTTACATAGGAGAATGCTATTATGATGGTATTGGAATTGATAGAAATATTCATAAAGCAATTGATTGGTACGAAAAAGCCGCAAATAATGGAATTAAAGAAGCAAAAAGTATATTAAATAATATTTTATCTGATATTCAAGATTAATATACGTTCTAAAAATTATAATACATATTTATTAAGTTTTTATATATCAAGATTTTATAAATAAAAACTTGTCGAACATTTGGCTTAGCAGCTAGTAAATAAAAAAAAAAAAATTTTTAAATTGATACACCGCAAGTGATTCTCATCGTACCAGCATTAGCAAATATTAACGGGCGGAGTTTCATGACGTTTTTAATTCTGCCCAAAATTCTATCCTAATTCTGGTAAGGTGACATTTACCAGCGGTGATATTTAGCAATACTCAATTTTATTAGTTAATTTCTCGAATTTCTCGATGTTCTAATTATTACACTGTGAAATGTACATTATGAAAAACTTTAAATGCTTAATATTTCAGGTAAAACTCGATAAATGTACCGTAATTAACCTAAATACCTAAATCCTAAATGGTATCGGGACATTTCGCCGAAAGCCATTTCGCCGAAAAATAATCTCTAGCCTAAGTTATTTATAATTTTGCATAATGTTGGCCCTATTTTTCGGCGAAACGTCCTTTCGGCGAAATGGCTTTCGGCGAAGTGTACCGTAACCCGATAAATTATGCAAATAAAAGCTACGTCGTGTAATAGTTACGGTATTTTAATGACTGGTTTATACCACGAAGTTATCATCCTGTATATAATTTTTAACTATCGAGACTTTTTGGCTCATCCCTTTAACTAGTATCCTCCTAACTAAACATCATCCGTAAAAATATCAATGAGAAAAATCACGGACGACTAACGTGGCATAATTTAATTCCTCCGTAAATCGATTGTTCTAAGCGAAAAGAAAAGTTACTTATTTAAATGTACGCAATTTTATTTATTTACTTTTATTTTATTATATAGACGTGGAACTGAGGGGTATACTTTTTAGGTAAATTACTTACTGATATAAAAATTCTCCGAAAATCACGTGACATTATTTACTTTTCTCCGCGCTGTACTACCTATGCAGTTTTTTGGCTCAGAAGCCTGTGTGACAACTCTTTCATATAACAAATAAGGATATATTAAACTTTTTGTTAATTTCTACTAAGTGTTAAAATACCAAATATTATTAATTATAATTAATTATTAATTATAATTAATTTGTTGAGCGTACTGTAAGTTAATTTAATAATGAGCGTAAAATAAAGTTAGAATTAACTTCTATAATTATTCGAAATAAATATCAAAATCTTAGTTTATAAAACAAAAATGAAATATATTAATAGCGAAAAGAAAAAGAAAAATTCTTCCCGTTTCAAACGAATTTTTACTACATACTATTTTGGCCAGGAGTTTTACTATGTAACATATTATTAACAAAGTTTCTCACCGTCCAAACGAATTTTTACAACATGCTATTTTGACCAAGAGCTTTACTATGTAACATATTATTAACAAAGTTTGCTATTCTGGTATTGAAGTTTCAAAGCTTATGCGTCTATGAGGAAGATTTCTCCTGGTTGATTTTAGTTATTTTTTAATAAAACCAATGACATGCCACTATGCAAATAACATGTCATTATCTTGTGTTGATCGACATATGAAAGAAACAAAGTGACATGTTGTTTTTACATGCTTTGTATCGTACGGCACGGCCACGCCATAGTTCCTGAACAACAATACGCCTTTAATCAGCATATGCCGTATGACGACTGTTACACAACTCCCTTTGATGTAGTAACACTGTAGGTCTGTAACTGAGTACAAAAAAATTAATATAAATAAACAATGAAACATTTATAATGAGGCTTTATCATTCAAATACCCTAAAAAAATTTCTAGAAATAATGAGAGGATATTCGTTAGAACAAGATTTGAAATTGCTAATAAATAATCCAAAGTATAGCGATATAACAATTTTATGTAAAAATGAAAAAAATTTATATAGTTGTAGAGCTATTTTAGCAGCAAGATCCGAAGTATTTGATAGATTACTTTATAATGGAATGAAAGAAAGTTATGAAGACAAAATTTCTTTTCCTACGATAAATTCTTCCGAAATGGAAATTATATTAGAATATATTTATACAGGGTCAGTTAGTAAAAATTCCATAACGAAAGAAAATATAATCGAAATTTATTGTATCGCGGATTATTTTCAACTGCCAGAACTTCAAAATTTTATTACGGAAATTCTTAAAAATACTTTGGAAAATAATTTTTCAAATTATACAAAAAATTATTCGCCAGAATTATTATCTAAAGCTGTAGAAGCAATAATGTTATCAGAAACTAACATTCTTCTAAATTTATTGGTTGAAGAAGTTGCAACTATTCCATTAAATAGTATTGAATTTGGCCGATTGTCTATTACAGCACTTGAATATCTTTTATCTTATACGTTTGATAAAGAAATACCTTTTGTAACCTCAGAATATGAAGTTTTTCGATATAGTGTTATTCTAACAGCAAAACAAGTTTCAAGTAACGCATATAAAACTCTCAAGAAACAGTTGCCAACTTTAGAACAAATAGAAAACTCTGCCCAAGTAGAAGTAGAAGATAAATTCATTGTCGATCATCAGAATGTTGTCGACGAGTTGGAAACTTTGGTTAAATATATCGATTTCAGGCGAATAAAAGATCAGATTTATATCATTGAATCACTAAAAATTATTCCAAGCGAAATAATTATCAGTAGTAAAGAATTAGATTTAAATGATATTCGAGGAATACCAATCTATAGAATTAATGAATCTGATTATGCTTGGGATGAGTCAGCATGTGGATCAAAACTTACTATTATGGATAACGAAAAAGTTGTATGTGCGTCAGATAGTTGTGTTTTACATCAAAATGTTAGAGCTAAAATAATATTAGAAAATAAGGGTATTTTTGAATGGGATATCATTATTATGAAAGTGTGTTTTTATGCTTGGGTTGGAGTTTGTGCATCAGAAAAATTTGATTATGAAACTTTTGCGGGAGGTCAATCTACTGGATGGGTATTAGGTTCTCATGGTTGTTGTTATAATTCTGGAAATTTGGTAAAAGATTATTGTCCACCATTTGGAGATGGTACAAAAATTACAGTTCATTTAAACATGAATAAAAGAACTTGTTCTTTTACAGTAAATGGTATAAAGTATCCGGCAGTATCAGAATGGAACAATTTACCATCAAAACTTTACCCGATAGTATCAGTAAATCGTTCTGGTTGTTTTCAAATTCAATCTCATCAAAAAATTTGATTATCGATTATAAATTGGAAGGGAGCCTATTTATTATACAGATTAGCAATAATATTTTTTTAAATACAGTCAACCCCCTGTATAGTCACACCATTAGACTGATGTGACTATACCTGGGGTGACTATAGAGGGGGTCGACTGTATGTTAAATTATCATCGTAAAAAAGAATAATTTAAATAAAATTGTATTTTTAACTAACCTTTGTCATCAGATAAAAAAATTTCTTTTACAAATTGTTAGAACAATAATAATTTATATGAATTAAAATTTCGGACTTGTGCATGTGGACTTCAATGAAAATATTCCATAATCGTTTATAAATCTTTACGGCGCACCCCGATATCCGTTCGTCTTCACTCAAAGACATCCCGATGATTGAATCTATAATGCAAAATATTGAATCCATTTATCAAATGGAAATATACCAGTCATAAATTAATAAATAGGATTTAAAATTTATACGCAGGTGCGCAGCAGCCGTAGCACCCCTATATTATATTATATGTAAAAGCCAAAATTAGTATACTAAACCCTTGTTAGTCTTATAAGTAAAGTTATAGAGCAGGCTAAAATACGATTAGGACGTGCATTTTAAAAGTTCTATGATAAGTACATAAGGTTTACACCGCGTTTATTCAAAAAAAAAAAAACGAAATTTATGATATCACGTGATCACAAATGAGCAATCCATGAAGGCGCAGCATTGCCGTAGACTAAAAATATTACGCTAACGATTTTTGAAATTTTTTTTTACACATGACTGATTTTATTTATTTTAGCTAGTACAACACACAGTACGAATAAAAAATTATTTACAAAATAAATTTGTTTTTCTATCACAAATAAATATTTATTCCTAAAAAAATTTTTAAAAAATAGCGTAAGGTTTTCATTAGTTCAAGACTTAAATTATTAATAAATAATCCAAAATGTAGCGATATAGAACTAATAGTCAGTTAAAGAAAATTCTTTAACAAAAATAATATAATTGAAACTTACTACGTCGCGAATTATTTCAGTTACCAGACCTTCAGAATTCTATCATGAAAGTTCTTAGTAATATTTTAGAAAAGAATTGTACAAAAAATTACTCACCAGAATTATTATCAAAAGTTGTGGATGCAATACCACTAATATTTTCTCAAATTTGTTGATCAATTTAAATTGTATTGAATTTGATCGATTATCTATCGCAGCTCTTCAGTATCTTTATCTTGTACACATGAAAAAAAAAAATACCTTCTATAACCCTGTTTTCGGTATTGTGCTATTCTAGCAGCAAAACATGTTTCTAATGAAACACGTAAAACTCATGGAACGATTGCCAACTTTAGAACAAATAAAGAACTCAGGAATAATTTATTACCGTAAAAATTAATGAATAATTGTTCATTGATTAAAATGTCTTAACTATATTTAAATTATCCTGGTTATAATTCTAAGAGATCAAATTATCGAATTTACCATTAAAACTTTTCCAGTGGTATTACTATGGTCGTATTTGAATTCAACATCATCAAAGAAATCAGGTATATGACTACGTTTTACACACCATCTTGTTTACGTATATTATTATGTACGGCAATAAATTCTTAGATTTTCGTAAATTTATATGTACTTTTTATTATTACTGTTTTCTAATGGATGAAATTTTATTAGGGATTAGAAAAAAAAAAGAATACAAAGCCTCACAAAAATCTATACAAACTTATAAAAAAATGAACATAAAATTTCAGCCGGTTTCGAATATTCAATGAGCGCCAATGAGATGTTCCCGTGATCGCGCTGTCAATTTCAGGATGATTACTAAAATTACTAATCCATTTAATTTATTTATCATAAAACCTAAACTATATTGTGACATAGGTAAATGAAAGTCAAAATTATAAACGTAATTATGCATTTTATTACCCGACAATTGATTATCCATGAATGCGCAGAACTTTTTAGCACAGAGAATTAAGCTCGATCTTGATCGATTAAATTCATTGAGTTGACTAAATGAGCGCGATGAGATATCAACTTAGATAAGAAATAAACGACAATTAATCAATTTATTATTGTAAATTGTAAAAAAAAAATAACAGTAGAAATTCTCACAGCTTTGTATCTTGCCGTACTTAATTATGAAACATTTACAGGAGGATTATCCGGCCACATCATGACATATGGCATATTAGTATGATGTAATGATTCATGATTCTGTATCCAAACTCATATTTTCTAAGAATACGAAGTTATAATAAAGCGTTTCGCTTTTATACTGTATCTATTCCCATAGGAACGTGAAAATTAGACGAATCAGAGCACTTTTTCAGATGAAAGCGCTTCCGGCAAGGTCATCAGGAAATAACCTGGAGAGGAATTAAATCCGTCGACTACATTAGAGTATACGGCCTTTTTTTTTTGATATGAGCTTGGACAAATTGTTCAAAGTTATTAATAATTGTAAAAATTATGTAGTATCTACCTTGCATGGGTACTCGGCAATGGAATTTTTTAAGATAATGTTGCACTACACAGCCACACCGTTGGGATTTGATTGTCCCACACAAGTCCTGCCGTGAATCCAATTGGGCAAAAATCGAAAATTTGGTAAGACGTTAATTAACATAATTTAAAACCTAAATTTTTATTTTAATAAATAATAAATATAAAAATTTTTCACTTGCTAATTTTAATATATATTAGAATATTTTCCTGTTAGATTTTATCAAAGTACATTTATTTAAATTTTACTCGACGTAATTGTTAGTCGATTTTGATCGATATTGATCAAAATTCTGACCAATTATAATTAAGTTAATTCCTTCTGGAAGTTCAATTTCAACACAAAAATGAGAAATAAAAATAAACGTTTTATAATGGTCATTGTACAATGGGCTAATTGTAAGTAAAACATTTTTAATTCCAATTATAATATAAATTAAATAATTTATGAAATTGAATTAATTAATTTCCTTTAATTGGGTAAATATTAATTGTATTTCGTCTTCTTGCATCAAAATTTACATTAGAGTAACATTAAATTGAGAACGGAGAAATGACGATCTGTTCTGTTACACCGAACGATTTTTAGTAAACAAATGTTCATGTGAATTTGTTATATTATTATTTAATTCTCTGTGGAATTATTGCATATTAACAAATTCTGTTCCAAATTTTTCTTTCAGCCTACTAAGAGTTTTATGAGTTTTTTTGACAATCAGGAATGAAAAAGAGGTCAGTGTACAATAAAGATGGGTACACACAAGAACATTGCCAACATAATATAACTACTTTGATAGCTGAATCGGTAACTTACGAATAAATTTATTATTTTCATTAATTGGGAATATAAATTATGTTTCGTCGTCTTGCTTCAAAATTTACATTTGAGTAACATTAAAATTACTACGGAGAAATGATGATCTGTTCTGTTACACTAATAGTGATTTTCCATGTACATGGCAACGCTACCTTCACATCCACATTAAGTAATAATTATTAAAATTTCATAATATTGACTGACATTAATTTCATACTAAAACGGATAATTTCTTTAAATAGGAAAAAAATTATTAAATTGGTATTACATCAAAGATAATAAACAAATGCAATGTTTAAAGAACAAGGTTTGATCTTGCATGCGTTTGTTTTTCTTATTAATTTGGTCGGAAATCGGAATTTAATCCTCAATTTGATGGCATAATCAATTTATATAATCTTTTTTTTTTTTTTTTTTTAATGTTACCTTATCGGTATACATTTGAAATAATCAATTATTCCTGTATTTCATATTAGTAATCGTAAAAAAATAAATAAATAAAGAGAGTATTTTCGCTTTCAACTTTTCAATTAAAATTAAATATCATAATTTTAAATTAATTTTTTGAATCCCTTTGAATAATAAAAATGAAATTGTTGATTTTTGCTTTATTCTTGAGTTCACTGGTATGTTCTTAATTCACGTTCTTTTTTTTTAAAAAAAAAAAAAAAAAATTAATATTTAAATCTGTTTGAATTTTAATTTATAATTACAGGTTATTTCTGTTTTCTCTCAAGAACAACCAGTAGATTTAGGTGCAGTTACTGTTCCATATAAGACCGCAAAAGTTCCTCCAAATAATGGTACTTGGAAATTCTGTAGTGATACGTCGACAAAATATGTTAGTAAGTATTATTTATTATTCCTTCCCCAACTCTTTTTTTTGCAATTCTTCCATCACTTTTTGTTGAAAGAGAAATCTCTCTAATAAAAAATCGTATATATTATTATAGGTTATAGTGTTAGAATAGTACCAGATTCAACGCCAATTACTCCAGGTTTTGGAATCGCAACACCAGGAAAAATTCCATCTACATTGGGTGCTGGTAAAGGAATTTCGGCTCAGTTGGAAAGCCCTTCTGGTTTTAGTTTTATTGATTCATTATCATGTCATGAAAAAATTGTTACGGTATGTGATCAAGATACGGGGGATATTCCTATAGGTACTGCTGCGAAATATTGTTTATCGGTAACAAATCCTTTCTCAAATCCACAAACAATAAATGTCGCATTTTCGGGTAGTGATACTGTATTTGAAAAAGGCGGATTTACGAGTCCAAATAAATCTGGTGGTAATAATAAACCATTCAGCAGTGCTTCAATAATTTCATCGAATATTTATTTGATGTTTACTTGTTTAATATTATACTTCCTTATTTAAATTTTTAAATTTAATAATTATACATATTCATATTAGATTAAAATATATGATTTAAATATTCAAAATAATCAATTGAAATTTACGAGACGACGATTGATTTCGTCATTAGATATTTCTTAATATAGTTACAAATTGCATACCATTATAACTTCATTCATATTTTTTTTAATCTGACTTAATAATAAAGTTTATTATCATCTTTTAATATATCAATATTATATGTATCTTAGGTGATAAGAGAAATAAATTACAATTGTCAAATTATATTTAAGTACCTATTTTGTTTCGTTTTAATAAAAGTAAATAATGTTAAAGAATCCTAAGATTTCTGGATTTCTTATCTTTCAATATCTTTTCATAAAAGAAAATTATTTAATATAAGGCCGGGCAAAAAAAATTTTTAGATTCTCGTGACATAAAATTTTAAAAATGACCCGGCCGGCCGGCACTTTTTTTTTATATATGTAAAATTTTCTCATATGTAAAATTTTTTTATGCAACATTGGCCAAAAAACTTAAAATCACGTGATAAAATTTTTTTACTATAAAAAAAAAATTTCCATTTTTCGAAAAACTGACCCGGCCGGGTCACGAGAATCTAAAATTTTTTTTTGTCCGGCCTAAGATCGGAAAATTTTACTAGATGGAAATTTATTTAGAGAAGTCATACGACGATTATCTCATTCGTTTTACGTATATCGATATTAAAATATTTAAATCGATCAAGTTTGTTAAATCAAATCTTAATTCGTGCGTGATTTTCTTATAATTGTATACGGGTATACGGGACGACGGAACGAGGGACGGTCGGGACGTGGTACATTCAGGTCATTATGTCATTTAAATTTACAGCAAAATTCAAAATATAGTGGACACTGTCCACTATATTAAATGAGTATATTTCGAATTTTGCTGTAATACTGAATTAATTCAGGCCAAATTGACGATGTCGGCCGGAATTACAAATCTATAATTTATATTGTCACGTGAGATAATTTTAAATAATTTTTTATAAATCAATTTATTTTAAAGATAATTCAAGTATAATTACGAAAAAAATAAAAATGAGGTACATATTGAACCCATACCAATCAAAATGAGTTTTTTTAATTATTCCTCTCGTTCGTTTTTATTTTTTTCAGTTAATGATCTTTCTGAGATAAATGCAAACATTCTTCGAAAAAAGATTTTTCGAGGATTTTTTTTTTTTGATAATTCCGGCTGAATTAAAGAACCGACAGTGTACCAACCATTGTTCCACGGTTTACAAAATGGTATATAAGCTGGTATATTTGAAAAAAAAAAAAAAAAAANGTTTATATAGTTTTCAAATCTGAAACCTAAACCCATTGCTAATATTTTAAGTCATTTTCAAAATTCTAATTTTACTGAAAATTTACTAGATTTAGTAATAGTCTTATAGTTTGGGATTTCGGCAATAGTTTTAGTAATTGCATATGGGGACGCCCGCAGCAAAAGCCGGGGCTCGGCAAATCACGTGATTTTGCGAAAATCACAATTTAATATTATTGGTTAATTTAGTAAATCGCAATTTATTTTATCATTTTTAAAGATTTTTAAAATCAGTTTTTTGCAAACTAGGGTAAAATTTTGCAAGGAATTCATTAAAACATTGGTTTCTTTTCTAGCAAATTTATATTATCCATTAAATATAATAAAATAAAAATACAAAAATCATAAATTATAAAATATTATATTTTTTTAATATGCTATGAATAAAAAATTTTTTTTTTCTCTAAAAGATTGGATTAATAAATATATAATTATAATAAAATTTTAAAATCAAAATTTTGGCCGAGCCCCGGCTTTTGCTGTGGGCGTCCCCATATGTAATAATTATTCACTCTTTCGTTTTTGATTACAAGAAGAAATAATTCTTTTTAAAATAATTCTAATTGATATGAACGTAACACAGAGAATTCCACAAATAAGTCCAAAAATGATACCAAAAAAAGCTCCATAAATGTCATAATTATTTCCTTTAATAAATCCCATCCTATATTCAGCAGGAATCCATTCATTTAAAAATTCTTCATTAACACCTCCATTAATACTACTGCTATGTAAAATATATTCAATTGTATCAGCAGCTCTATATTTTCTCTTGCTATTAATTTTGGCTAATACTTCCATTCTCTTTGAATTTTTCTTTATATTCTCATCTTTTAATAAAAAGTCTATTTTGTTTATAATATCACTAACATCCAAGGTAAATTTATTTAATGTTAATGCAACACCAGCTAATTTTAATTTTTCAGCATTACTCATTTGATCAGCACCAAAAGGTAATACTAACATAGGAGTACCAGTATAAAGAGATTCATGGGAACTTCCTGCGCCTCCATGAGAAAAAAATAATTTTGTATTGGTATGATTAAGTATAGCGAATTGTGGTGCAAACTTTGAAATATGAATATGTGGATGTTTGTTATCTAGGATTAGCGAAGTTTGAATATGTGAACCATCAGATAAGGTTAATGTCGGAGAGTAGCTATCTTCTGGTGTTACAACTAATGCCCAAACTACGCCATCAATTATTTTTTTATTGATTGCTTCGACGAATGATTGTAAAAGCTTGTTGTTGTTATCGACGGTTCCATGAAAACGTGTACCAAAAGCTACATACAAAACACGTTCGTGTGCATTTATAAAATCAGAGAGTTCAGACGTAAGTGATGGATATTCTTCCGATAATACAGGACCAATTTCCTATTAAAGTAAAAAATAATATTTATTTAGCTATTACATATTAATAAAATAAAAAGAGATATCAATTACCTGAACGTTTGGTGGTAATGTTTGTGGTAGCTAAATAAAAAAAAAAAAATATTTTTTTTATTAGTATTAATAAAGCAGGTTTGATTAATTATTATAATTACCTCAAAACCGAAGAAAGTGTCAACTAGATGCAAAGAGAGTTTTTGCGAATTTCCCATATATATAGGTTTGGCATTAACTTGTTCTCTGAAATTATTTAACTTCTTTATAAAAGGATACATCATATAATCTATATTAAAAGGGTTTACTATAATACACTTAAATCTCTCCAAAAAAGATTCATTTTCTAATGAAACATTACATGGAGAGTTTGGACCAGTTTTTTGTGGTCCAAGTGTATCTAAATTAATAGAAGTAATGTTATTCGGGATTTTTTCAAATTAAAATATTATATGATAAAAATTCATAATTACGTTTAAAAAAGGAACTTATTCCAACAACAGGTTTCTTTAGAGTGTTAGCAATATCTAAACAAGCTTCATTCAATAGATTATCACAAATAAACAAATCTATATTATAATCTTTAGCAACATTTTTATATTTTTGATAAGTTTCTCTGTAGGCTATTATTCCATTTTCTATAAAAGGTAATATTTCTTTAAATTCAAATTCTTTATGAAATTTTGAATTTAATATCTCTTTGTAATTTAGTGCGGGTCCTAGTGTAACTTGTTTGATATTTGGATATTCTAATGATGGCGTATAATATCCTGATGTTAATAGTGTTACCTACGTATCAAGAATTGAATAGGGAGATAAAAGATAAGTTTGTAAATGATTAATAAAATCATACTATAAGCGAAATTTTTGTTATTTACATTGTGACCTCTTTCAGCTAATATAGCAGCAATGTCTAGTGCTGGTTTAAGATGACTTCTTCCTCCAATATAAGAACCAACCAAAATATTTTTAGAAGAAAGCTCTATACCAGTGTTCCTGGGAGCGTAATCACGCGTAGCATCAACATAAATATAAACATGATTCAATAAGACGAATATCGATAATAAAAAAATAAAGTGTTTTTTAACCATTTTGATCTTTATCGAAATTTTAATGTTATTTTTAATATTTTGAATTTTTGATATAGAGTCAAAGGTAAAATATCTCCTTATTTATATATTTAACCAACTGATATTCCTTATTACAAATTTGACAATTTTAGAATATTATCGGCCCTCATAACAAAGAAATAATTCATCCCATAATATATATGAATAAACAGAAATGCAGATAACCAAAATAAGTATGATTAGCTTCTATACTAATTACGTATATAAACATGTTATAACAATTTAATTTTCTATTTAAGAAAATATTAACTCGTTTAGTATATTTATTTGAAAACCACTTATGATATTTTGGATAATTTTAGATCATCGCGATATATATATTACAAAAAAAGGATGGTAATATCTTTCTAAAAATCACCGCGCAATGAAAAATGTTCGGTAAATTACATCACTAATTTATTATTTGTTCACAATTACATTAAATTTCTTAGATATGACACACATCAAACAGTTATGAATTAATTGGCATGTTTCGTTTTTTATTAAATATAAGAAAATGTCAAAAAATTTACACCAATGAAAGTATAATGATGACATGCACGTGATGAAAATTTATTTATGTACTTTGAAAATCTTTATTGAATTTCTGTAATACAAAGCATGTGTAACATTGTAACTGAAACGTAATAAATATTGACTTACATAAACTTTCAAATTTTGCATAACGCTTAACAAAAAAAGCTATTATCTAACGCTTAATGGAGGTTTTGTAAAAAATTCTATTGTGACCAGTCAAATTATTAGCCTTAACCAGTTAATAAATCGATTAGTTAATTAACCTGTACCAATCTGATTTACTTGAATTATTTAACCGTAAGGAGATCATGTTTCATTATTAAAAAAAGGCAATCATTAACCTTGTAAAGTAGTTCATATTTTCTGCACACATTAGACAATATATTGTCTAAATGTCTAAATGGTTTTACCGGTTAACCTTAATTCTAACAATAATTTTAAGGACATGATTGTAGGGCTGGCCTATCAGAAAAAATTAAATAATTTATCTATAGTTTGATTAGTGTAATAAACGCTGATCATTTTCGTTGGCTACCGTATATCACGATTCTTCGCTAAAATGTATCATGAATGTTAATCATTTTTATTGACCTATTTATCACTAAAATTATGATAAATTTAAAGAATTTAATATTTTTGTTCATGTAACAGCTAATATTATTTGTGTGCGCAATTTACTATACGGTTTTAAGTTCATTGAACCCGTGCGAAGCAACGGGCTTTTGCTAGTATACATTTATGTCTTGTAATGCTGGTCAGAATTATTCTCAGTTTTGACTTATTACCAATTTTCATGTTATACATTTAAGTTATCCCGCAGCGGATCCTAAGTTTTTCACTAACAATAATTGTAGACAGTTCTTTCTGGACCCGTCTAATTTTACATGATCGTTTTTAATGAGTAATTTTAAAAACAAATTTGATTTTGGTTTCTTTATACTACATGATCCAATTGATTCATGATATCTAAATTAATATTAAAAATCAATTATATAATAATAAAAAAAATTATTTGTACAAATTTAAAACGATAAAATCGAATTATATTAAGTATTATACAATCACATATATTCATCTGTATTAAATATAATTTCTACAACGCGATCGGCATTTTCTTTGGAAAACTTTTTGAATTAACGTTATTTTCTTGGTCTGTGTCATTATTAGTTAATTTTTTTTTTTGTCAAAAATCTGCGCAATTCAATCATTTGATCACCGTATGCAGGATTTTGCCGTTTTATAGGTTAATTGTCGTTAGCGACAGATATTACAGGTACGATATGATTATCAATTAATGACGAACGAAATTATTATTATTTTTTTGCATCCTTTGCAATACTGCTATTTATTATTAATATTATTATGAATTTATATTCATTATAATCTATTAGATCCTGACAGGAAACACACCATGTATGATTAATACAAAAATATTATTAAATTTTAATCATGAAACAATTAAACGCATTATAAAGTACCTTGTAAAATTTTATTTCTTTTTAATAGTAGCCAGTGATACGAAAGGATGATGATAGCCAGAGACGTTATCATATTTCTTAAAATTTTAAGTAATTGTAAATAACACGATCATATAGGATCTGGTAAGTGCTTTAATTAAATTTAGTCAACAATACAACCGAAAAAACTGATACTTTTTTTAATATTCTTTCAAAGTATCTATATCATAATTACAAGTCATTTTATCAAGAGTCTATTTTATTAATGTATTCAGGAAGTATGGATATCGTTAAAAAAATCCAAGAGATCTGCAAAAATTGGTCTTTTAGATTTTTGAAATCTCACGCAATCTCCTTGAAAGTCTAGAGGTTAGAACCGGTTTGACTTACAGCAAAATTCGAAATATAGTGGACACTTGAAAATTTTTATTGTCGGGATTATCGGGTACTCGGGTCGGGCTAGTCTGGTTATTAGAAAAGATACATATCACATATATATAATATATATATGGGAAAAGAAATAATGTTGAAATTTTAATTTTAACAAATCATTATACAAATAAATAAATATAAAAATCTTACTTTTAAATTAAAGCGATATACGCATATTTTTTTTAATTGTCAAACAATTTAAAAAGTTTGATCGTGACTTATTAATTTTTTTTTTACTACGCACAATTTAAGACCAATTACAAAATTCAGTTTTAGTTTATGAATTAAATTTTGATAATATTTATCTAAAGAAATTCAAAATCATATAAAAATTATAATTGACCTATAATTGTTGTCCCTAGAATTGATAATAATACCAACGAAAAATAATTATTACTTTCTATTAACTTTACGAATTATGACAACGCAAGGAATTTAAAAATATTCTATTATTCTATTAAAAAAAAAATGAATTTAACGAAATATGCTTAATTCCGGTTAAATAATGAAAACAAGATATGTACAAAGTTTGTTAATCGTGCATTTTGATAAGAGAATTTAATATAAATAAATTATTAAAAGGAATTCTTTGTTCACGATTATTATTTAATTTTTTACTTATTTAAACCAAATATAATTAAACCAAACTCAAATTACAAAGTAAGGTAGCCACAATTACCTCACTTTTTTTTTCACCGATTTCTCCCTAAATTCACGAGTTATTTAATTCAATAAGAACAATATAAAAATTAGTTGTATTACATTCAATTGAGAGTAATTCCGACACATTTATTTAGAAATTTAAAAAGTATTTCGAATTCCGAAATGTTTTTTATTCAATAAAAATTTTCAATTATAATTAACGATTTGAGTAAGTAGATATTAAAACCTTATTGTTAATTATAAATTGTATTCGTTGGGTATTTACATTTTACAGTATATTAAAAAACAATTATTTGCTAAAAAAAAGAAAGTCATTGTCATGATAATTTGAACAAATGAAATAATATAATTAAATAAATTTATTTAATAATGATATTTTTTATCGTGACCAATTTTTCAATTGACTGCGGGAGATTACACAACCCACTTTGAGAGATTATCGTAGAACGAAACTAGATGAGTCTATTACTTTGTTAATTCTTTTACTGCCGTTGAGCTGATAATTCTCGTATAGCGGTTGAGCAGATAAATCCGTTAAGTCAATAATTCATACACAGCCATTACAGCTGTTTTCATAAGATTCGTCCGGTCGGCGTCGAAATGTCACGTGACTAAAGATTTTATACTTGATGAAATAAATAAAAAAAAAATAAACAAGTTCAATTTTACAAACAATTATTTTATGCTATCAATACTTACATTACATATTAGATGACAAATAATTGAAAAAAAATTTAAAAGGCTTGACAACACGGCAAATTGCTAAATGTCTTCGCTGTTTTATTTGAATTTCGATTCTTTCATCCTATTTAGTTTCGATTATTGATTTCTTATATACCAATCTTGAATTGAGCTTTGCATTCAATCAGGTAGAAACACTAAAATATTGATTAATACAGATTAAGTCACTATTTGAACCACTAGACAAATAAGTATTTATAAATTATATATATAGAACATCTTTTTTAAAGTTAGCGATTAAAATGATCATTCCGAAATTATATATCAGCAGCTTTTGTATGATTTACCAGGACCCTAAAATATATATAAATAAAGCTTTACTGTTAGCTGTGCACATTTTCACAAGGCCGGAATTATGATAATTTTAGTCAGTATCCAAAGATTTTCACGGGAAATATCTAAAAAAGAATTATTTACACAATTTTTACAATTTTGTGATTTCGTTATTTACCAATCAAATAATAATAATATCTTTATAATTTTCTTTTAGGAATTAATATTTAAAATACTTTTTTTTTGCATATACGATAGTTTCTATTATTAGACATCAGTAGATCATGTAAATCAGAAATTAATCGCGAACCTTCCTTCCAAATCAGTTATGCTCAAGGTGAGACACTTCTTGCTAAGCTAAGATATATGATATCATTTAATCAACGATTAAGGTTTTGCTTGTTTAGTATATTATTAGTTTATTTTATTTATTCTAATGACAATATAATATCATAATGTTAATGTAATCCGATCATGTCAACAAACAATAAGAATATAAGGTAGTACTATTTACTACAACAAACTTATCTAATGAAATGACAAACTAAATTGAAAAGTTTATAGAAAATCTTTTTAACTATCGAGAGACTAAGATCTTCGCACGACAATAACTTCTAACACTATTGAATAATTTAGATTTATAATTATTAATCATGACCATAAAAGAAATGACTCAAAGAATCATTCTCTTACTCCAACTATTTAGGCAGAAAATTAATTATCTAAAGTCAAGCCAATAAGAGATCTTCAAATCCTAAAAAATATTATCTTATAACAAGTAAGAATATATTCATTAGTAGTTAAACATAGGTATAAACCCGAATTATTCAATTTTGGTTTTATAACTTTCAAACTGCTATTCCGAAACCTGCCCGAACATGATGGTGAGTATACATTTTGACATGTTTATAGTATAAACATAAGTTCATTAAGTAGACTCGTACAATGATATCAAGATTTATACACTTGCAATGGTAACTGTAAAATAGCTTATCCCCTGCCATTTACACAATAGTAAGTGTTTTATAGTATATCGTGAGTTTAATATAGTTTATTTTATTGTTGTATCTTATTTTTCTTTCGCTTGGTTTTTTTTTTCATTTTAAAAGATTTTAAAAAATAATTGAATTTTAAAATGCTTCGGAACTATTACTAATACACTTGAAAAATAATATTGAGATTACAAATAAATTAAAAGAAAGTTTTTCTCATTTGGAAAATGCAAATCTTTCCGAATTACTCAAATTTTCAAATCAGTCCATTATAGTATAATCAATAGTTAATTTTTACCGCAAAATTTCCTAGAAACGGATAAATAAATACATATAAAATTTGCTATCCAGTAGGTATAACTACATTTGCATAATCGTGTAAATGGTGCCGATCAGGGGATAAGTAATACTTATCAACCAAAACAATTTTGTCATCGATTAATACTTTCATCTCATTGAGTTTTCCTAAATAAATCACCAAATAAATGATTTTGTTAATTATCATATATATAAATGTCTTTTTCAATGTCTAAATAATGATAATCGAATTTATCAAGCGGTTTTTGAAATGTTAGAAAATTGATCCGTTATAGCAAATATTACTAGTAAACTCCGGTATATCGAAACTATTATAATATACGTGATTTGTTTCCAGCAAAAAAAAGTCCGGTTTAGGTCCAAATCCGGTTTATCGAATTTTACTGTGTAATTAAAAATTAATGGTAAGCAGAATATTATTATAATGAAGATTTTATGATAAAAATGATAAAAGCAATTGAGACGCAGCATGGATTGTTAACCCCTTTGATAAAATTTTTGACAGTGATTTATGTCTAGTAAATATTTGTAATTCAGTTATTTCTTTTCTAAATCAGAAAGTATTGATACAAAGAGGATGTATTTAATTTAGTGAGAAATGAAGCAAATTGCCAATGAATTTGTTGATACTTTAAAGGGGAATTCAGAAGAATGAGACAGTGGTAGCAATAAATACGATAATAACATTCCGAAATGATGGAATCAAAATAAACAGGTAAGGTACCAAACTAAATCAAGAATTACAAGATATATTTGGCGACCAATCTAAGGATTTTGAAGAAAATTAAATAATAAGGGTGAAATTTTTTTGAAGATTATTTTATCGTTTTTCTCATCTGTCTTTTATTCCAAAAAATCCAAAAAAAAAATAAAATTCTGAAAAAGGTATAATTTGTTTTATGTAAAATAAAGATAGTAATATCGTGGATTTGATGAAAAAATCTTACCACTACACTACACTACTTGTCACATTTATTGATCCAAATGTTAATGATTTTATTATCAAGAACATGTAAGAAATTTAGTGATTACTAGATTAATATTTAATATCTCTGTAATTAAAAAAACTTATTATTTCGTATTTTCTCTTTACATAATTAGTGTGGCCATAATACCATAATATAATTTATAATGCGATCCAGGTTCTTATTTCGGGCGCTTAAAAAAAGAAATATATTTCATGAATTATAAAAATATTTGATTTTATATTCCATTTTTTTTATTGGCATATAAACGCTATATGGAAGTATTGAGTATAAACTTAAAATTATTAGACAACATATAAAAATATTTTTAAGTAAAAAATTATACAAACAATATCGTGAAATTTAAAATTTCGCAGTTATGATAAATTCTAAAATTTTTATCAAGAACAAACATTTATATTTAGTAGGTCGAGATTAATCATTACATGGCTTTATGATTAATTATACTTAAGCGTGAGATCAAAATTTTTTTGTAAGGATATTAATCAAGTTAAATTACCAATTTATAATGATAATACAATGTTACAGCTAAATTTTATAAATTTTATAATTTGAATAATACTACAAATATTAATATATTACATTTTTTTTTACAAAAGTATACAAGTATACATAATAATTGATAAATGAAGTTAAAGTATTAGTTTTAGTTGGAACAAGAAAAAATTCTCACTTTAGTAGAATCATAAAAGTTTTCTTTTTATAGCGGAAGCATTAGAAAATTAGAAGCTATTCTTACTTAAAAGAACCATATTCATCCACCACATTTAACTAATAAAAATATGAACAATCTGAAATTTTGTTATCAACAAACAATTATGAATTAATATCGAAAATATCATTAATTTAAATCATTATTTCTTCGGTTATAACTTATTATTGCTTTCGCAAATTTTACGAGCGAATTTACGTTTAGATAAGAATTTTTTGACCTTATTATGTGATTTATATTGTTTAGGCCAGAATTCATTACCATCTAGTTTCTGGGAAATTTCGGCAGGATGAGAATGATCATTTTGTGTAATAATTAATTCAGGGATGAATTTTTTATCAAAGATCGAAAAGTTGATATTGAAAATATTAGTTTGCATATTAATGAGAATTCCAAAAAGAATTTTGCAAAAACAATGCTTTCTTTTATAACTATTTCTTTTGATTTTTGTTCTCGTTAAAAAAGAAAACTTTGTTCCAAGTTTATCAAGTAGCTATTATTATATTTATGAGCTGCAAGCTACAGTATTACAAATAGTATACTGTATTTTGAAGTAATTCATTATTAAATTATTTAGGAGGTAGGATGACAGAATTACCATGTAGATTTTTCCTTTTTTGAATAATTCCGACCAGAATTATACGTCGCTTGCCCTGCTGGGACATGATTTTATTTAAATGTTGCAGATCTGCTCGGGTCCCGGCTAAAGTTTAGGTTTTAATGTAATCGTTTTCAAGTTAATTAATAAAGTAACCATATAAGGCGAATAAAAGTGAGAGATAATTGATCAATTACATTGTTAATCGCATTATAAACCTTATTATATTGTACTTGTGAATTTAAGTGTTTCTTGTTGTATATTAAAAATATTGCGTTAAATCATTTATATTTCTTTGTTAAAAATTATAGTGTTCCGAAAGGGACGGGTCGAACCTGGGTTATCCGAGTCAGACTATAATCGGATCAAGTCGAATCTGGGTCATTACTTTTACACTCAGATCGAGTTCGAAACTTCGAATAGACCTCAAAACCAGACCCGACTCGACCCCTTTGGAACACTAATTAATTTCATCGTTATAGAATTTTATACATTAAAAAAACAAATTTAAAATCATTTACATATTTCTCGAAAATTATCAGAATGGTGTTTATCTTCTAAAAACTTTTTTCCCATTAAAATTTATAACGCTTTTATATTTGGATCAATATTTAATATTTAACCCACTATATATTTTGCAAATGTTCGTAAATATTTTATTAAGATAAATATAAAATATAAAAGAAATTGTTAATCATAACGTTAGTTTTATGCCCATACAAAGTAAATCAATAAAATAAATAATAATTAAAAATTTTTCGTATCATAGTCAAATATAATTGAAGAGTTAAATGTTCGAAGATTTTAATTTTAGAAAAAATTATTCGGAATAAATTTAAATTAAATAACCAACTTCTTCAGATTATAAATTAAGAGTATTAGCAATATTCTCATTGACTCATTCTTAAATTTAAAGTTGATTGATGGAAAAGCATAGTATTTAAAATTTCTTTTTATTCAAATCTTTTTACAATAAAGAATTTCTTTTAACGAACGAATATTAAGTAAAATACTTTTGTTAGTTTTATATAACAAATAGTAAAATTTTACTGTCTTATCACTTGGAATACTTCATAATTTTCTACTATAAAATGTTTTGGAATACCTATCTTTGGATAATAATTACTATGATCATAGCAAGCCCAATCATTAGAACCCTGGCAACATAAATCACCTGTATATGGCCCATAATTATTATAGCAGAAAATAGCATAATTTGTATTATTAACATAACCTAATTTTGCTGTAGAAATATCTTTTCCATCTGTAAAATTAAATAAAAAACTATCTGCAGTTTTTTTCCAAATTTTATTTCCATTCCAATCAAGAGGATTATATCCTCCAATTAGTTGTGTTGAACCTTGAATTTTTGCTGCCCAAATAGTAGCTCCTTTATTGTTACAATGTTTATGAAAAGTCTCACCATTAAATCCATCTCTACTTGAACGATATAATAATTTAAATTCATAAGGGATCTTATTTTTATTATAAGAGGAATCCTTTTTATCAATCCATGAAGCGAATAAGGGAATGTGATTTGATTCAATTAATGTTGAATCAAGTCTGAATTTCAAGTTTAGTTTTCTTGAAGGTGCTACATTAGTTTTGGGTTTCATATTAGGAACTATATGAAATTCCAAAAGATTATGAATTAAATCCTGAGGCAAAATTTCTTTATAACAATAAACTTTGTAAAAGAAATCCGCAGGTTCAATACCATAAAATCTAATTAAAGGAATAAATCTATGTAGTGACCTTTCAATTTTTGTAATATCTTCCTTATTCCATTTTGTTGGATCATTTATGATATTTTGTTGAGAAAAACACCATTTTAATAAACTTTCCCAAATTTCAATTTCATCTATATTTAAGTCATCTCGTTTTAATAATAATTCCAACAAAGGAGCCTTTAAATTAATAAATTTATCTGAATTAAATAAAATTTCAGGTTCTTCACAAATTTTTTCAAGACAAAAATTCCATAAATCTGTAAATGTTTCATGTTGATAAATAACTTCAAGAATACCAGTTGGATTTTGATTCAAAAATTCAGTTTGATGCTCGATCAAATATTCTTGAATATGAGAAACCAATTGTTGAATATTAAGCTCATCAACAGCTATCAAAAGTTTCAATACTTCAGGACCTTGTAAATTCTTTAATTCAATATTTCCACAATAAATAAATCTATTGTTAAAAGATAATTAATTATAAATAAATATAATACATAAATAAATGT